TTTCTTACTAAAGGCTAGTGTTCACTGGAAAAAGAAAAGAAAAATCCAAACAGTAAGGAGGAAATAAATGTAAAATTTAAATAGAAAATACTCTGTAAAATAAATAGCAATGATTCACTTGAAAAATGAAAGCCAGGGATGCAGCTCCATGGCAGAGCTCCTGTCTAACATGTGCAGGGCCCTGGGTTCAATATCCAGAGGGCAAAAAGCAAATGAAAGCATGTACAGCAATCTTTCCTGAATTACCATTTCAAAAAGAAATTGTAGTACAAGGTAAATCCCTTATCCAAAGAGTTTGGAATTTCTGATACTTTGCTTCACACTTTTGTTCAATTTTGGAACAGCTGTCTATACATACTGGGTTATCTTAGGGATGAGAGCCCTAACAAGAAGTTCATTTATGCTTTATATACACGGTACAAACACAGCCTTTAGATAATTGTATGCAACATTTTTAGTGTCCTTGCCTTTGAACTGTGACAAGTCATGAGGAGAGATATGAATTTTCCATTTGTGGCATCATGTTGGCACTCAAAAAGTTTCAGATTTTGGGGCATTTGGGTTTTGGAATTTGAGACTATGGATGATCAATGCGTATATGTTACTCTTTTTTATATCTTTGTTTCTGACAACTGTGAAAAATCTGACTCTAGGTAACACGGGGGCTGAAGAAAAGCCAACTCAAGTGTTATGAAATGGATCCCTCTCTGTCAGAAGGAATAAGATAGTGCCTTTTAAGTGGAGACGACAGAACTCTGCAAGTACATCAATAGTATTTCACACTTTGCTGTACTTTAATACATGTATTAAACTTTCCCAATTTTTCATAGATATCTTAGCCCTCGCTCTCTTATATCAGAGTTTCTCCAAAGTATGTTATTTTTTTCAGTTTTTATTTTTTACTAGTACATGTTTTCAATATACAATACAACATACAATACACAATCTATGGGTACGGGCCGGGCCTAGGAATCTGCAAGGTAAACCTGCTCTCAGAGGATGAGAACCTCTGTCCAGCTCAAAGGTTCTGAAGTTCCAAAGTACAAGTTCTCACAGGGGATATTAAGGAGTCACGTCAGTTATTTCCTAACTCTGTACTTTAATCTCACAAAGAGAAAACAGAGAGAAAAGTAGAAGAAAAGAAGAATTTGGTACAACTACAACCACTTCACACCTTAGAGAAATAACTTCTTATTTTCTCAAGGGTTAGGGTCCTGAAAATAAGAAGTGGTTTTTCAAGAGTTTCTGGAGTTTAGCAATCAGTACTTAATAAAAACAACCCTATATATTCAATGAGTCCTACTACATAAAACGTTTTAAAAGCATTCACTTTTACATGTACATGTACCACTCCCCACCTAACCATTATGTACTGCTAACGTATAAATAAAAATGAAAAATTTTTAAAAAGCTTCACTTTCTAAACATTCACTGCATAAAATAATATTTGAAATGCTTTTTCTTGAATTTCCTTCCATTGTTCAGGGTACACAGGTGAAGACATTACGACCTGCTGAGAGAGAGCTTTTCAAGAACTGTTATATAAACTATATTCTCATAGTTTTCAAGTCAGTTTTTATGAGCTGAAACTAAATTTTTGTCTTTATACATTAGGGGAGAGGATAAGCAATTTCTGGAAGAAATGCTGACACAGAAAGACCTTTTACAGATGGGGCAGGTGGGGGGACAGCTTAGCAGTGGTCTGTGTTGTTCTTCTGTTTTAACGGGGAGTGATGTGACGCAAAGATAAAAAGATCGTGGATTATTTAAAACAGGCTTGCAAATCTACGACTGCAAAATCACAGTTTTGTATTGGCAAAGTGTGATTTTCTTTAACCGTTTAAAAATCTCCATATTTGTTCTTTCTTTGCAAAAAAATATTTTGCCTAGAATCAAGACTGTCATCAGAAAGTAGGACGTTAATTGAAGGAAAACACTGCAGAATAAATAAAGGAGATGGGTCAGTGTCACTCCTACCAAAAGGAGCACAACAGTGTGTTAGTGCTCGCAGTCCAGAGGACCGAGTTAGACGGAGTCAGCATCAGCCAGCCAACACGCTGTGCAGAGACAGCCTCCTTCCAGTTCCTCAGACGTGACAACCCAGCCCGGCTTCTGCATGTGCTGTTCCCTTGGTCTAGTTGACATTTTCCTCCCAGTGTTTTTCCATAAGTGTGTGGCTCAGGCTTCAGGTCTCAGCTTCCTTTACTTGGCATCTACATGAGGTGCTTCTGTGTACTTCTTACTCTCCCTCCACAGCTCACACTGAGCTGTGCCACTCACAACCATGTTGTGAGAATAGTTCACCAGTCCTGTGGAGTGGCCTGGGTGGCAATGAACTAAGTTCTTCTGCCAACAGCCTACAATAACTTGCCAGTCGCCCGAGTGCACCTTCATGGAAAGGAACCCTCTAGCCCAGGAAAGCTTTCAGCTGGCTATAGGCTCAGCCAGTTGTCTGCTACCTCAGGAAAGCTCCTCAGCCAAAACTACTCAGTCAAGCTGCTACAGAATTCTGACCTCCAGAAATCATGTGAGATGGTACATGTTTATTGTTCATTTAAGCTATGAAAGTTTGGGGAAACTTGTTTTGCAGCAACAGATAACTGACAAATATTATCTCTCTTTACTCAAGCTCACATAGTTTTCTACAAATGTTTACATTAACATAAAAAGAAACAAGAAACACATTTTTATAATTGATTCCCAGTTTAGTTCTCCTTTTTCATCAAATCTCATGAGAAAGATAAGGGAAATGGCTGGTTTTTAAAACATATTTTAAAAAGTAAAATAAGATGCATTTTATTCTGGGGAAGAAAATTTTTTTTCTGAAAGGGATGAAAATATGAGAAAGAGATAGGATACAAGTGAAGTGCTGCCCAAAAGATACAGAATGGGGAGGACAAGCAAATTCATGGATTAACCCTAGTTGCTTTCTTCCATTTTCCATTGTCCTCCTTTGGCAGATTCCACTGAAATCAAGCCCAAAGGAAGAGTGTGATGATCAGAGTGTGGAAAGGAGAAAAAAAATATATATCATACGACACTGCAACAAGCAGTGGTATTTGTACTAGTAAGAAAAGGAAGAAAAAAACTTTTAAGTGGCAGCACTCAGGCATGAAGATAATTTTAAACACCTATATGATGGGCATTTGCAGACGCTCCAGTCTTATTCTTTAGTTTATGTGGAGGTTTCTCAGAATTTTTTCTTTTCTCTTGACCTTGCCATAATACACATGGAACAGAAACTATATCAATAAGAAGAAATTTGTCACCATGATGCTTCTTAAAGTTGGTGAGAAGTACATTTTTCCCTTTCCCACAGCCAAAGGTAATTTTTCTAACAAAAAGAAGTTTGAATTCACTTCAGAATTTAAAAAAAATTACCCCTTTCCTTCTGTTCTTTCTATTTCCTTTCTCCAGGTCCCCTCTCTAGCTTCTTCTCCACTTTTATAATTACCCAGTCCAGGAAGAAGAAAAACTGAGGTAATTAATACTGCAGCAATTAGTATCCAAAAAAGCCTTTTAAAGAAAGACTGAGGGAAATAACAATGAAAATTTTTTCATTATCCACCAGTAACAATTAATAATCTTAACTTTATCTTGTACTAGAATTTCTAGGAATTTTCTTTTTACACAAGGAGATAAACAGAAGAAATTCATCATAAGTTGCCAGAGTCTACTCTTAAACAGCACGACAGCGAGAAGAACTAGACCCACACAGAGATTCCGAAAACCTAAGCTAAGTTTTGGATAGAACAAAAAACCTGCACTCTAACTGTATGAGTTTGTAAAGGGGAATTATCATTCACCACCACCTGTAACCGCTCAGCTTCTGAAGCTTCTTAAAATGAAAGAATCAGAGACAAGCAAGTCTTTTACTAGCAAAATCAAGAAAAACGCGGGGGGGGGGGGCGGCTGTGAGAGCAGAGGCGTCGCCCCGCTGAGGGCCCCGGGCTCGGCCTTCCAGATTGCCGGTGGCAGCCCCCGCCGCTGGGCGTGCGAGGGAACCCTTGCTGGTCTGCGTCGCTCTCCTCTAGGCTCCGCCGGGTGGTTGGCATGGCCCCTGGTAATCAAGGAGAACTTGCCCGACAGAAGAATATGAAGAAAACCCAAGAAATGAGCGAGGGAAAAAGAAAAGAGGATAGCTTGACTACTTCTCAGAGAAAGCAGAGGGACTCTGAGATCATGCAGCAAAAGCAGAAGGCAGCTAATGAGAAGTCTACGCAAACAGGAGAAAAATAATGACCGGCTCTGGGAAACGTGGGTGCCACTGCCAACTGGTACATCATAAGCTACAAGATCAGGATTCCTCAGAATGAACAAGCATTACATGTGCTATAACTCATCCTCAAAACTGTTTACCTCAAACTTTGTTTTTCGGCCTTAGTGTGATGTTTTAGAACCATTCTTCAAAGAATAAAACATCACGCATGTAAAAAAAAAATCAAGAAAAACAGGTATCTGATCACAATTATCAACTTAGCTGCCTAACACCTGCTGCCAACATTAAATTCTAGAATTTGCAGGCTGAATCTTTTAAGAGAATTCTTAACTGGATTTATAGAATTAAAAATGAAGGAAGTGTATAAAGCAGTTCATGGTTTTAATTCTTGAGAAGTTCTGACCCAGAAACAATCTGTTAAGCTATTCCTGAACTCCTGATCCAGTGAAACTATGTTAGGTTATATTCACTGTTGTTTAAGCCGCTAAGTTTTAGGATGATTTGTTATGTGGCAGTAGATAACTCATCTCTTTCCTCAAGTTGACAAAGTTTGCTAGATTTTCACATTAACATAAAGGGTAATAAGAAATATTATATAAAAAATGTAAAATTATTTTTACACTTATATACAGAATATGTACATATGAAACAAGCACATTACACTTCTGCAGATAATCATTAGTTGACACAGGTGCTACTTAGTGCTTATTTTTTTTTAATAACTGGTAAGATAAGCAGACAGGCAGGAATATATGTAAAATTGTTTTAAAAAGTCACCTACCCTTAAGAGGATCATGCTCTGCTCTCATAATATCAATAAGGGAATTTTCCAAAGAGTGCATATTCAAGCTGTCATACATTCTACTTCGATCCTGGAAGAAAAGAGAAAGACTTATCATCTATGTGATTCTTTTCAAGATGTGGTTAAATATACTATCTAAAGTATCTCATATAACAGGACATCTGATTAATTTGATATTACTAGTCAATTTGTATTCCAAGAAAGCACCAACAACTGAGGATAATAGGAGCTACAACATCTTTTTCTAGGGACAATGTTTTTAATACACTTATCTCTGAAATACAGTATCAAAAGTAACCTAATTTCATTGGAAATATTAGTACAATATAGTAAGATACTTTCATTTTCTATAAAGATTCTTGAAATTTTATACAGACAGAAAGCATTTATATTGTTTATTTAACTTCTAAATTTTCACACATATCTAGAAAAACAAAGACACTGGCATTTGGAGAGTAAATCTCTAAGGGGAAAGAATTTAATTCCATAATTGCACCATACTTTAAACATCTATCAGACATTCTATGTTATTGGACTTAGTCATCTGAATTTCCTAACAATGAATGCATAAATACCCTACACAGTAAAGATCAAAGGCACGAGTACTCATACCAGAACAAAGTTTAATGCCTCAGGTATGTATAGTCACACCTCTGGTCTCTGTGCTGCAGTCCTCCCTCCTGGACTCCTGCAGAAGAGGGCAGGCAGAGGAGGGAGCAGTGAAAGCACTCTCAGCTCCCTCAGTTTTCTGCTTCACCAAGTGTCAGAAGTTTTTCTGAATTGTCAGAAGTCATTTATTCAGCCCTTGAATTTGCTTATGACAAAGAATGTGATTATTTACTGCCCATGACCTTACACTGCATTCTGTTCAAGACATACTCAATGTACGTGAGAAAATATACACGAAAAGCTATCACAGTAAGGTGTGGCCCATGCCCTCCAAACAGCCTGGAGTCTTTTCTCAAATAGGTCAGTGCTAGTCCACACCCATTTTGGCCATGGGTGTGCCTGTGTGCATATTTAAATATATGTGCATGATGGGGGGCCAGGATAGGTCATTTGAAACTCTTCACAAATGATTACCACTGAAAACAGAAAGGGAGGAATCAGAAAGTTAAGTGGTTAAAAAGTCAACACAGAAATCAAAACAAAGCATTTCTTAACCTGGGTCCATGTGCTTCAAAAGATATCTTCATTCACTGGAATTATACTTAGTGTAGTACTTAAGTGGGTATATGCGTATTTTTTTCAAGAAGAAAATGTTTTGTAAGTTTTCTAAAGGGTTCACAATCCAGAAGATTCAGAACCAGTTCTTTAGAAGGCTGAAAAAAAAAAACCCTAAGAAATTTTCCTGAGAATATGCTCATTTATTGATTCTACGTTGATGTTTAAATTAGGATTATAAATTAGGGTTGTAAAGCTAGGGTGCGTGAATAAGCATTGTAGACTAAACAAGGTGCTCTCAAGGAATTAAAAAGGGTGGAAAGTAACACTGAATGGTGGAAAGAATGCTAGACAGAGCTGGGCATGGTGGTGCACACCTGCAATCCCAGCACTCAGGAGGCTGAAACAGGAGGATAGCCAAAAGTTTGAGGCCAGCCTGAGGTACACAGTGAGTTCAAGACCAGCCTGAACTACATAGGGAGACCTTGTCTCAAAAAAAAAAAAAAAACCCAGACAGAAGGCTCTTATTCCATCTTTATCACCAGTTAACTATCAGTTCCCTTGACTAATTTTTACTGAAATACCCTTGAAGAATCATACACCTATCAATAACAGCTATTTACTAGAAGAGTAACTTGCTATATTATAGCTCCCTGGTTCTCTGTGTCTCTGAACTTGAGCATGCTTCAGAGTTATCTGGAGGGCTGGTGAACACAATGACAGAGACATATAACAGAGTCCGATTCTGCAGACCTGGAGTGGTGCCTGAGTTCTCAGGTGACACCGATGTTGCTGGCCTGCAGACCACACCGCGGACAGCACTGGGTTTCCTGACACTGTAAGTGTGAACCCTCTGGACAATAACCCTATCACACTAGAGGATGCCTCAAGCTACTCTGAAAATTATAGAAAGACTCAAAGCACTAGAACAATAAGTGAAATAAAGCTTGAATAGAAGAGAGGATGGCTTTGCACAAAAATGACCTACCATTTTAGCAATCTGCAAATATTTCCATCTTTTGCGTGTCTGCTATACTGTGTTCAACTAATTTGATTTTCCAGTCTCTCCCAGTAAACTTCTAAGTTAATTACGGCTAGGAACCTCCTGAACATAGAATACAGCCAGCTCTAAAATGTCTATTCCATGAATACTTTATCTCTACCACAAAATACTTCATAAAAATATGTAAGTTGAGTTCTAACAAGGAGAGGACTATACTTTTTAAATGGTAATTATAAAGGACTATAAAGCTTCTAAAAATCCTCCCAAGAATAGAAAGTCAAATGTTAACTAAGCTGAGACAAGTACTGGATATTAATGTGGCCTTGGTATCAACCTCAAATTTCCAATCACCCAAGAGAAGACTGTTATTACATTCAAAGTGCCAAGATACATTTAAAATAGAATTATAAAGTCATGATAAAAGTTGTTCACATTAATTAAGCAAAAGCAAAGCCCTCTGAAGGTATGATGCTTTACATAGGTCCTGGGAGTGTAGTATAAATGCTTTATAATACTTTATATTCTACTTACCCAACATTCTTGGAAATAATATGAAGTGTATTGCACTTCAGATCTATCTTTTCAGGCTCGTGATTCTAAACAGAATTATTCTATGCCCCATCTTCTTCCATCTATGACCGTAACCGATAGTGACTCTTAATATCACCCAACTGGTATTTCTCAAAGAACTTTCTTTTTCTGGGGGGAGGGCAGGAGGCACCTTCCCCTTCCATTGCAAGGAGTGTATGACCTTGCTCTAGAGTGCAATAAAATTATTAAAGTACTGTCAATGGGCCATGGACAGTATCTAAGGTATGAAAGGAAAAACTCTTGAGGAAGCTATCCAACAAATACCAATAACCACTGTATAATCAATTCAGAGTGGTTACTCAAAACAGTAGCATGTACTAACTTTAAACACCTGTGTCCAAATGAATCTGAGATGGACGTTAAGGTCCCTGATTTTTATTCTTATCTCAGATCTTTGAATACTTCTACTTTAAGAAAACAGCGAAGCTCTTTTACCTATTAGCTTAGTTATACTTTCTTAAATATCAGCTGCATCCCATATGATTTTTAAAGCAAAAAACATAAAACAGCCTAGAGCAAGCAAGTCATAACATCTCATAATCACCTTTTGAATTTAAGTAATTTTAGGGGACAAATAATGCCATTAAGTAATTTTTGGGGATCGAATTCTGACTTTTAAGAAAACAAATAAATCTGGCTATAAGACAAGCATGCATTCTTCTGAAATAAGGGTATTTGAAAAATTTTTATTCATGAAAATTGCCATTGGTTTAAAAACCAAATAGAAGTCCTTTGGCAATTTTAAAGGAACCATGAACACAGCAATACTGATTTGTATTAATATGGAATATCATAGCAATGTTTCTTACACTGAGTGCATTTCAAGTACAATTCAAGAATTAAACACAGGAGAGGAACATAAGAAACCATCCACTACTCAAGCATGCATATAAGGGCCTATTTTCTTTCTTTTCAGGGTACAAGTCTGAAAACTTATGTTCCCGAAGTTCATCTGGTTTAAGAGGCACAACCTATGGAATGCTTTATTAGATAAAAATACTGAACTTGGGCCACTATTACTTCTTTTCATGTCAGGTGATATTATACACCTAGATGTCCCCCAAAGGCCTCACATGCTCACAGGCAGGGCTGTTGGAAGGTGATGGAATCCTGGTGGCTTATAGAGGACTTGCTGTCAGGGGTCTGGTGGGAAGATCCCACCCAGCAGGAGTCTGGGACCTGACCCAGAAGGGTGTGTGGCCTTTCCAGCTCCGCCTCTCTCTGCTTGCTGGACGCCATGACATAAGCAACTTTCCCCTGCCCTGGCCCTTCCACCATGCTGATTCTGTGCTTCAGCCTGAAATTCTGAAACTGTGAGCCAAAATAAACCTCACTTCCTTTAAGCTGTGCGTGTCAGGCATTGGGCACTGTGTCTCAGTGACAAGACAGTGACTAAGACACATAAATTAAGACTCAAATGATATACTTATCTGAGAGATCTCCAAAATGTGACTTATCACAATATTGTAAAAGCTTGGATATTAAGTATTGGCAGAAAATATCTCCGATTAATTCAAGGTAGTCTGTGTGATATAGAGCAAAACTCTAGAACTGAATTTTTTGCTGATTCCCTCAATTAGGGACAGGCAAATGCACATATAGGATTTATACACTGTATTATAGTTGCTTGATGTTGCTTTGTTTACAGTAAACTGCTGAGCCATATATAAACTTGTGAATAACCTGAGTTAAACGGATATTTACTTTGATTTAAAATATATAAGTATTAATGAATAAAAATATCGTAACCTTAACATCTAATTGAAAATTCTGTGTTAGAGTAATTTAGAAATCATATTTTTAAGTATGATTTCCTGCAAGAGTAACTAGCTAATTCTGTTGTAAAGTAAATTCTCAGTCTAAAATAAATTAGCAAATATCTAATAATCATTTTAAAGTCAGAAATGTGCATACAAACTTGTATTTGCTTTTTAAAAATCTGAAGGTTTTCCATTAATCTTATTAAAATAAGAAATTCCAACCTACAAAATTTTACTTATAACAGATAAGATTAATCTATCAAACTATTTCTTTGCCATTTATTGAATTCAGTTACATGTTCAGATCTTGATATTGGTTAAGGCTTGAAAAATCCAAGCATAAGACTTAAAATTTCCCTTCTATAAACTAATATATTCTAGACCTAATTAATTTGAGAAAAAGGGGAAAAGTTAAATGGTTTAAAATACTGTATTTGTCAATAAAGCTACAAATATTAAAATGTTGTACATGATGACAAAAGGTCAGAAATGAAAATAATACCAGATATTTGAGTGTTCATTTTTAATAATTTCAATTTTAAATTTAATTTTGCTTTAAAATGTTTGTGATTCAACATTATAAAATACCAATTCAGTTTGTAGTAGCTGCTGCTGTATTTTTAAGAATCTCAACTTCAAATACCTCAACCTTTTATGGAAAGATAGAAACACAGAACAAATTTTATATAAGAACCCTGAAGGGTCTTAAAAGAGACGATGACATTCCTTTTAAGACTAGTAGGAAGGTCTCAGACTGCCACTTCTGCTGCCTGACACCACTACCTTATAGCTTCCCTGCAAGAACCCAAGCCCCTGACAGTCTAAAAAGAAAACCAAAAAAAAAAAAAAACCCAAAAGGCCAGAGGGTTAGGATGAAAGAGTAAAGCCGAGAAACATGGAGAAACAGAGAGAAAGTATAAAAGCTGGCTACCAAGGCCCGAACATGACCTACATCAAGGTCCTCCTCTCCTCTTAGAGATAAGGAAGCCATGGCACAGAGATGAAAGCCCATAAACTGGGCTCATTCCATGTTACAGATTTTGAGAGGAAGAGGAAGGAGATCTAAGTTTCAGACCTTTCTCTTGAGATCAGTTCACTTTCCACTACCGTCTTGCTTCATTGCATTACACCTATGCCCAAGAGTCCATAGGCAATGCTAGTATTTCAACATTCTACCAAAAATGCATCTTTAAGCACCAAAATCCTTTACCCTAAAATCAACTTACAGAAAACCCTAGGTTGTAAATCTGGTCAAAGAGAGTGGCTTTGATTGAAGTCTAATTCTTGTCAGGTGGCTGTTCCAGAGCCCAGTTTGAAAACTTCCCTTTTGTTATAACCTCTATCTATTCTCTAGCTATACTCCATCAACTAAAACTATTTCAGTAAACTAATTGTGCAACATCTGGCCCTGCCCCCAGGACCCAGACAAACCCTATTGCTTTTTTTTGCACACACACATAGAATAACCATGTCCTTTCCTCTCTCAAAATATTTGCCTTGCTACTTTCAAAATAATTACAGTGATTTTTCTTTCCTAATATATAATCTCCTTGGCCCTTCAGTATTTAATTTGAACAATATAAAAAGGCTACCATAAGTAAAATGTCACTCAGACAAGTTAGCTGGACCAGATTGAAAAAAATAATAGAAATAGCTTAATAGTTAACTTATTAACAAGATAAAAATTGCCAATTACACGTGATAACTACTATTTCTAAGTGGAGATACTGGAAGGACAACTTTGGCAAATAAGCAGAATTTTTCTAAAATAGCTGCTAGGGGTTGATTACTGAAGTTAGGGCTAATCCTCTGCATCAGAATGTTCACAAATGTATTATTAATCTGCTTACACAGTCTTTACTTTTAAAATCATCTCTTGCTATTAAATTGACTGTGAAAGGGCCTTAGCTAAGGATAACAGTTTCATTCACTTAACTCACAGAATGTCAAGTCTAAACTCAATCAAACATGGCTTCTGTAAGAAGAATCCTCATAGTTTACGTAAAGACTGAGTTTTGTATGTCCTATAATAATCCTCATCACTTCCACCCAGTATACATTCAAATTCAGTCTACAAGAAGACAGCATTTTGCAACCACAAGGCTCTTGAAGATACATAATTTGAAGGCTGAAAGCACAATAATAAAATTTACAATAAATAAATACTATACCCCAACATTTTTATAAAGGTGAAATACTAAACTAAGGCAGGGCTTTTTCAAAAATAGACCTCAAGACAAATACAGAAGATTTCAAGAGAAAAATTCACTAGGAAGGTTTGTAAAACATGATCCTAAATAAACGTATGACTTTGTATCTAATTGCAAATTATTCTGAAAGGAGATAAAAACTGTTTAGTTTGACTGATGTTTAAAGTCAGGTGCTCTTGGGTATATGATTAATTCCTCTTTCCAAAAATATTTATTATGCTTTAGAAATATAAAATTACAAATCATTTAAATTTGAAAATGACTATTTTATATCAAATAGTGTAAATATTGCTTTAATGCCCACTGACATATGCTTAAATAGGTATAATTGAATAGTAAATGATAAATCCTACTCATAATGTAAATACTAAACTCCTAGCCAAAATCCTGGAAAATACACACTGTGCAGCCTACCTGGTCTATTCTGGATGTTCCGGCTGCAGTGCACCAACTATCTTGGAGTGAATCTGAGCCCCAAGCTGGCAACTGCAAACTAGATCTCACCTTCAATAGCATAGAAGTTTTCATCAGAAATAAGCAGTTCTCCTCCCCATACCAACCACCCACCAAAAAAGAAAGAAAACAATCAAAGTTCTTCTTGTCTTAAATCTTTGTTCTACCCTCTACAAGTTTTAGGGAAAATAAAATTTCAGCCATAAGGGAACCTCAACAAAATATTAACAGGGGTGAAAAAAATATCTAGTCACTTTAAGTATTAGGCCACATTTGGACAAATACAGTCATCAAACCAGTGAAGCCAAATTTGAATTAGATATAAAAAAGCCTTAACATTTTAACACTACTCTGCCAAAATCACAGCTGTACCAAACATATTCTAATATACAGACAGCTAATGATTGAAAAATCTGAGTATTACAGTTACATAATATTTTAGCTTAGCTATATTATAGGAGAAACAAATTTTGATGGTCTGCTACAAATAAAATAATTTTTATTTTTAAGAAGCCGCTAATTAAAAGCTTCTATCTATATTTAAGAAACATAAAAGGTTTCACTACATTTTAGAAAGCTTGTTTGCAAAGCTTATTCTGCATTGTGTTATTTTTTACATTCCCAATTTTTTCCTGTGTATTTTATCCTTTGATAATTAAAATATATGCTTAAAAACTAGAACCGTATTTTATTTGTTAATTTTACTATATTACTATCACTACTGCCACCACCCAACTTCCTATTTTGAAAGGTTAACATTAGAAACAAATCCATTTACATACCATTCTTACCTGTAAGGGTAAGAGTGTATTACTATTGTTGTCTGTTCTGAACACATTATCTTCAATCCAAGACTTTGGAGTCAATGATGGAGTAGAGCGAGTAAATTTCGGTGGTGCTATGACATTACCAGAAAAGGGTTTCTTCAGTGGAGATATCTGATTCAGAGTTCCTGGAATCCCCATGTTTCCCGTCCTCCGATGTTCTCTGCCGTGCATGGCTCCCCAGGACATGCTTCCAGTGCCCCAGCCGCTGCTCTGATGGTTGCTCCACGGGGACTGCTTCAGAAGAGGCTGGCGAGAACACAGCTGTTTCAGTTACAGGCTCTAACGCGGTTAGAATTCAAATTCAACCTGTACACCTGAGCTAAAAAGGTACACAATTATTCAAAAATGAAATACTGATGAGCAAAAGAACATTGTAAGTAGCTTACAGTCACAGGCTAGAGACCTTCCTATTTGAAGTAGTATATTTATTTAATGTTGGGCAAGCTTTCATCTTCTTAATATATTTCACAGAAACAGAAGCATGCAATCCCTTTTTTCCTACAGAAAGAACTGTATACATGGTAAAGATGAACTATATCTACTTCTAACATTTTTAAAATACATGTTTAAAAGTATGCTTTTAACTTTGAAAATCCTTAAAGACATAACCTACATTGTGATCAGAATGCAATTATATTCTGCTACGTCTTGTTTATTAAGTGGTCTTTCTTAAAATATCCCAGTTACATACGTCTGTTGTATAAATTAAAAATGCCTTTCGAGATATGGCAGTACAGGAAATACATCTTTTTTTTTCATTGTTCACTGGACTTTTAAGGTATTTCATTCCAATTTTAGTACAGTTTCTTTTTAAAGTGTTTTTATTTCACTTATCCATGAACTGTTAAGCAATTATCTGCTGTTACCCATAGGTGGATCCACTGAGATACACTCCCAATAAACTATGGACTTTGATTACTCTTAATAAACTTAATACAAGTCTCTATTCAAGTCTCTTAAAGTCATTTTCAAAAGTAAATTATATTTCAATCTAGAACCTATGGCAAGAAAAACTGTCATCGAAGAATGGAAAATCCACCTGTCTACAGTAGCTTTTTCTCCTTTTCAGGGATGTATAAATTATTTGTAATTCTACTGCCAAGGAGTTAAGACTTAACAATTTTGTGCAAAGATTTAGCCCATGGAAGTATGGACACGCTGTTACTTAAAATCAATAAATATGATACTCTGAAAAATAAACCTGCTTCTTACAAAATAATTTTAAGGACCTTGATATATAATACCTTTTAAAAAATTTCTCAAGTGCTCACATAATCATGAACATAGACTTTCTAAGCATAACCAAGGGACCCCTGAAGAAATTGCCCCAGGCATGAGAGCCTTACTTTCCTTATTAAAATGGCTCAGTGTATAAAGTTCTCTTCCAGTGATCTCAAATTCCATAGGAAAGCTGTGTGACCTCGTAGGGCCCATGGTGAGACCCACTTTTTGTCCCAAAGCAGGTTACAGTTATATATGGACCACGGTATATGTTTTGCCAATTGGTTTATATCATGGTTTTAAGAATGCAAAATCACCTCTAAATTTCTATGGCAAGTTTCCAGTTAAAAAATGAAAAGCCCAAGGCCCAAAACACGGTTGGCTCAAGATCATGGAAATCGTGGTAAAGTAGAATATTATTTCAAACTTTCACGTTTTCATCCCTACAGGTCACATTCTCTTTACTCCGGGAGAAACCAGAGAAGAAAGCAGTTAACAAAAACTGCTAACTGTTACTTGGGTGAACTGAGACAGGATCCACACTATAAAAGGTGAACCCTGAAAACCGGTCAACGGAAAAACTTCCATGAGTTAAACAAGGACTGGTTAGGGTCAAATTCTGTTTCTCTGTCAACCCTTAATCATGAAAATGTACTTAAACGAAATTATCACCATAATAAATCCTGACCTGATCTTTAAAAATAAGCTCTTTTAATGTCAATTAAGCAACTCAGTGGCCACCTCAGAAAACTACGGAGATCACGGACATGATCGGAGTCAGAAGAGTGTCGGACAAACACAAACCCTGCTCGCAGTATTTCCAGACATGTCCCAGCTCAAACAACTCCACCACTCCCTTCCCAAGGTGAAGGTCGCTCCAGGCTGTCGCAAAGTCCCCAAGGAAAACACCCTACCCCGGCTCCTGGTGTCCTTTGGTTTTCAAACCCACAGGACATCACGCAATCGTGAAAAACCACAGAAACCAAAGCGATGTCGGGACACCGGAGGACACCGACCTTGACAGCCCCGGGCGGCGCGAAACCCTCCCTGCCTGGGCGGCAGGTGACACGGGGGGCGGGCGTTGGGGCGACCCAAGCCGCGGCTCCCGGAGACCGGGTGACGGATGAAGCGCAAAGCCTCCCGGCCACCGGGGCCCTCCTGGACGGCGGGGAGGGCCGGGATCCGCGGTCAGTGCCCGCCCGATCGCGCTCCGGCCGGTCGTCGCCGCGCATCCCCGGGCGGGGTCCGGGACAGTGGCGCTCCCGCCCGTCCGCCCCGTCCCGCGGCCACGTCTCCTCCCGCGGGCTGCGCACCTGGTGGTGGTTGTACGAGTTCCGCTGCTGCAGGAAGGCGGCGGCCGCCTGGTGCTGCTGCTGCTGC